AATCAATGACATAGACAAAACATCGGTTCTCCAAGCGCAGGACTACCACCTGGTGTCTCCAATTTGGAACCAGGAATGTTTGAACGAGACCGGTATAGCATGTGGGCGTGCCCTCTGCCCAAGAACACACCGAACATGGATGAGATGCGGGGACTCCCAGATACTCTCAGATGAATATACGACCACAGGCAAATCGACAGAAAAAAACCTGAGTTCAGCGGGCTTATTCCCGAATATCTCAATGAGCGTGGCCGACACGATGTTGAACGTGGCTACATATGGGGCATTCCCTACCATGCCTTCGAGACTACTAGAAAAAGAGTAAACAGGTAACCTGAAGACAGGATCTATCTGGAGTCAGGCCTAGAGTTATCCCTCAGGATCGAGCACTGGTATCTACCAAAATCGGGCGACGAAGTCCGACAGCTCGACCCTAACCATCTTCCTAAGTGGGACATACCAAAGAGGGGTCAGGAAATACTGGAGTTGTTTACTGGTGGTGTATTCGGAGGAATTGAACCTGCAAATAGTTTATCATAGCAGGCCATGCACTACCAATAGTGAATAGCTTTATCTAGCAATTCTAGTATAGAGCGAATCAATCAATACGTTACTTGGGCAATCCCTATATCAACTACACCAGTGGACTCACTTACCCTCCAGCTTTATTGCTTACGGACTCGTCTGCCACACAAAGTTAGCTACAATTGTTTAAAGTCTGGCTGTTCCAGGACACTACATGATAGCTTCTGGTCTGAAAGTATACAGATGATAGAATAGTGACGGTTAAATAGATCTGTAACATATACAATCCCAGCTCTGTAGCCTACCTAGACATCAAGACTTAAGCCCTCCCTCCGGTGTCCTCCCCTTACTCCAGCCCTCCACCCACTGATCCTCAATAATCCTCAACTGCAGCTCCTGCGTATCCTTAAAGTACCCTTCAGTGTGGTCGTCCATATCTACATCCTTAAATCCCTCCTTCGCAATAGACGCCGGCGTAATCATCAACGAGTGACCTGTCATCGTTAGCATACACCGCTTATAATGCAAGGGGGGATAGAAGGAATAACCATTCATAGTCCGATCCGTCGCAATTCGCATAAAACATTTCGCGACGTCTTCCTGGGGTGCGAACTCGACGCCTTTGCCGATGAGCTCGGCTTCGTATACTGGGCTGCGGATGGCGCTTTTGATGTAGCTGTTCCAGTTAACAAGCCTTCGCCCTCCAAAGCCATATGTTAGATACGATACGACAAGCAGGGGAAGTACCAAGGTGCCACATAGTTAATCCTGACTCCCTGCTCCCAGGAGTTCCGCCTCGCCACCCTCATCAGCCCCCGGAGTGCGTATTTCGTGCAGGTGTATTGCCAGTTTGCCTGGTTAATTACATAGTATTGTTAGTCTAGTTCGGTTAAACTTTTCAATGGATGTGACGTACCGGAGAGTCAATCCACGCAACCATACTCCCCGTGATAATAAAACACCTATCCCTGTCCTCGGTATCAGGCTGCTTGCGGAAGTAATGAACCGCTAGTTTCCATGTATACAGTGTCCCTGTGAGGTTCACGTCGACAATGCTCAGGGTCGGTTTTACCGGTGGTGCATTTACATCTGTTATGCATGTCAACACCTACGATCTTCGTGCAACAACCTCTTTGGATAGTGGATGGGGAGGTACCGTCAAGCGGCCACAACGAATCCCCACTGGCACGACTAATGCCCGCATTCGCAATGACAATGTCGCAGCTTTTGTGTGGTGAGTTTGCGATTGCTGCTTCGAAAACTTGGACTTGTTCGTCCCAGTTTACGATGTTACATTTCACGAATTGCGCGTTTCTATCTGGGTGAGAGATGCTCCAGCGAGGGGGGCCCGGGGGGGGGGGGGGGGGGGGGGGGGGGGGGGGGGGGTTGGGTTAAGCATACGGGGCGAGTTCCCTCGCGACTTGTTCGCCGCGCTCGACATTTAGATCTGCAATGGTAACGAAGGCGCTGTTCCGGTCCTTGTTAATTCTTGCTTGCCTGGTATGAGAGATTCTGGTTGGAGGGAGTGGACGTACCCGGCTGCTGCGAACTCGCGGACGGTTGTCTCGCCCATGCCATTGGCGCCTATACACTGGTCAAAAGGATACTTGACCATGTTTGAGGAAAGCATACCCCCTGTTACGATAACGCTCTTCCCCTTGAGCTTGCTTGGGTCCGGTGGGATCGTGCAGTCTACCGGGCCGGTATATTGGTACGGAGGGAGGTTGGGCATATTGTTAATTGATAACGCGGTGGACAGACAGCAATGTCATTTAGCAATTCAGGTGAAGAAGTTGATTATTTAGTGATTTACAAGATCCTCGGCCTGGAATCGATTGATATGTCAAGATACTCCAAGAGTTGATTGCGGGGAATCCCCGCTCAGACTGCGAAGGATAGAAGCCATCGGCTATCCAGATCGGGATAGCCGTCGCTTTAGCCTGGTATCTCCGGCTATCATCTACATAAACCTTACACCCCTACCAGTGTTTTTTGTTTTTTTCTTTTTTTTTTTTTTTTACTTTTATTGGTTGCAACTGATAGAGCTGTTAGTGCAGTATCCTGCGCAACCGGCTGCCATGGCGAAGAAGTCAATCATCACTGTCCCATACACGATGACTCTGAGGTCGAAAGCTACAAGCGCTGAGATTAAATCTAAAGGCAAATTCAGGAGCACCCCGTGTTGGGACATTGTGAATGAGATTACCCCTGTATAGATTATTCTTTACTACCGCGGTAAATCTCCGGTTACTCTTCCTAGTGGTTTCATTGAGAATAATTTCGGGCTCGTTTTGTTTTCAACCAAACTGTGAAATCTGACACAAGCATTGTTATAGCTTCTAGGAAATCCATCAGTTCTATTTACTCCGTATATAGTATAAATTGGTCGGTATGGAATGTTGGGCGGGGGTAGTCCTCGCAGCGTCCAGAGGAAATCATGGTTGTCAACAGTCTCGGTAACCGATACCCCAAGAAAAGAAAGATAACATTTGAAGTTCCGTCGCTTATAATCTATCTAACGTTATGGTTGGCGTGCTCTTTGCAATACGACTTAGCGAGTGAGGTCTTCAGAGAGACTGCCGTATCTTCTTGAAGATTTGAAGAGTCCCAAGGCGAGCTCAGCACGGCCGCTGTGTCGAATATGCTTTTGTTGTAACTATAATATCTCCTTTACCTCAAAGCTTGTAAATATAAATCCACTCATAATACCCCTGCGGCATATGTTTCCTGGTAGAAAGATAGTCTATAAGCGCCTGGGTGCCTTGAAAGTCTGAATCGATGATCGGGTCTCCCTCTATTGCAAGATTCTTGCACCGACCGTAGGGTTACCCGTGTGTTCTAGCAGCACAGGCAATACTGCTACATATTTTCCTGTTCTGGCATCTAGGCTGGTTCAACTATCTATTTCTGCCAAGTGATCTATTTGGGCCTTGGATAGTATGTCGCCTAATTTGATTTAGCCTCCGATACCAGGCATACGGAATAGTACGGCCACCTACCAACTGCTCTTTTGAAGGAGACCAGCCCCTGTCTGGATTGGAAAAGAAAATCCCGCCGTTATGTCCCAATCGAATTGTCAAGGAAATATCCGCGTCGCACTCCTGGCAATATTCATATGTCTTTAGGCATAGCTGAATCTTATGGCCGCTCCGTTGTTGTTGGATTGGCAATATCCAATCGCCGATACTGGATAGTTCTCGTTTTGGCCATCACGAGCTTAGTCGAGGTCCACAGATATTAGCGGGTTCACTAGCGTCGACTTCCAATTTAAAAAAATACTCATTCACGTAGGTGGGATTGTTGGAGTTACAGTATAGCGACACATTTATGTATTGCTATCTGTTTATATGACCGGCAGACAGGGACCATATTTCTGGTTAGAGCATCCAGATTTATTTCGCGCCAATATTTCCCTCTTTCCGAGCTGGCACAACGCGCTGTCTGTTCCAGCAAAAGGCCGTTCCAAGTTCCCGAGTGTATTTTTAACAATATGCTTAGAGGTAACTTCACGATTACCTATATTGAAAGTAGAGATACATGATTTTAGAGTTGAACGCGGCAAAGCACGCGATATAAAGAGGTTTATAGGCCCCCTCCAAAGAGAACCAGCCTTTAATGACTAGTTGAATATAACCTAGAGTAGTGTTCAAAAGCATACACTCAAGTGCGCGTCTGGTTATATTTATTCGAGGAGTTGAGTTCCCCTCCTTGTCCAAGTGATTGTCCATCTATGGTATATGCGGTACGAATAAACCGATTGTGGGTGAACTTCTAGGACTGTTATCAGTGCCACAAACCGAACTCCCAGATAGAACAAAGTACCTCTGCTAGAAATCTTGAATTCAAGATATAAAAGCTCTATGCTTGGGCATTTGAGGTGAAGGCGAACCCTTTTCTGGTGGCGATGTATTATGAACGATAATTGGCGTGAAAGCGATTTAAAGTGGCTGGATTAAATGAGGATGGGACCAGTCTCAAATATAAATAACTTATTCGCTGGTTTTAATCTCGATCTACGTGTACCTTTCTTATTAGTCATAGTATACAGGGATAAATGGTTTGTCATACTTCGAGCTTAAGAACCATGGCTTCTAAACAATGTCGCTATCGAATAACAGTTGTGATTCATCACGAGATACCCTAAGCCTAATCAGGGTTCTATCACATGAACCCTCCTCCCCTCTTCCCAGGAACGAGACCCAAAGACACCACAGCGATGTTGAAACAACGCTCCCAAACACAGTCTGACAGAAGAACGAGCCCACCCAGCAATTCTTACTAGACATAACAAATTATCTATTATATATATTGTCAAAGTTATCTTTTTTCTACTATTCTACTAGTATCTATTTTTACAGTTGTTTTGTTATTTAATGAATTATTTGGTCTTACTAATTATCTATAGACCTCTATTCCGCTATTCTGTTTATAGTGTAGTATTCGGTGGGAAGAAAGTAACAAACCAAGTAGTATATATATCCTCTTCTGTTCGAAGATTAGGCTAGATGATAATGACTGGTAGAGCCTATCAACAAGACAACAAAGGATATATAAGGCAGAAAGAGAGAATACCAGAAGCAGGTTGATTTCGTTCGTTATAGACAAGAAAGCCTGGAAGACATACGACCAAGGATAATTACGTTAATAAGAAAGTCGTTGTAATCCAGGGCAGTATCTCCTCGGCCCACCTGATCGCCGATTGAGTGGACAGGTCTTTTTCACGGCGTGTTCTGAAGTTATGAAGCAGGTGTTAAGTTCATCTATAGCAAGCTGCACAGATATCATATTACAACATTATAGGAAATTTCTTTGATTCAAATACGGACTAAGCCAATACTAGTACGCTTGAAAGGCGCACAATGATATTGCCTCTACACAAGCTACATATCGTCCCACGATAGGACTGCTTTCACGGCCTGTGAATAAACATGTTAGGTATTTTTTTCCATACAGGGGAAGGGATCAATCCATAACCGAGCACCATCTTCTAAATGAAAAAGAGAAAGATAACTTACTAATCCTGATTTTAAATCCTCCAATGCCTCCGTCAAACGTCGGGCAGGATAGCACTTTGTAAACCGATTCACAGGAAATTTTCCTTCATTGAACAATTGCACCAGCTGAGGTATTAACTATGATTCTCCGTCAGTCCAGTTTGTTTTCAGGGTATAAGCAGACCAGAGAAGGCAAAAATAAAATACATACTGTCTTTGGATCTGCTCTTCCTTCAATTATACCAATTATCCTTTTACAGGAGAGCAGCAAATCCAGCGCATTTACTTGAATATTGGCTGCAGCGGCTGGGACACCAACAAGAGCCAGAGTGCCCTCATGAGCCAGGGCCGCAAGCGAATCCTGTAAAAGAGACGCCACACCAGTGGTGTCCAGAATATAGTCAATACCATCCGGAAATATATCACGGATACCCGCTGCAAGGGTCTTGACCTCTTTGGTATTAACCGTGTGCGTCGCCCCGAGGGAGGCTGCCATTGCAAGTTTCGCGTCGAGCATATCCACAGCAACAACATGCTCAACGCCCATAGCTTTAGCTGCCAGCATTGCAGCCAGTCCAACACCGCCCATTCCAATGATAGCAACCTTGGAGTCACTAGTTGGGCAAAGCACATTCAGCACTGTTCCTGCCCCAGTTAGATATCCACAAGAAAACGGCGCAAGAAACTGGAGGTCCGACTCCTGTGCGGAGATCTTGACCACGGACTTTTCTGTGACGATGGCCATTTTACTGAGAGAGGACTGTCCAAAGAATTGCCCATGCACTGGCGTGCTATCGGGTAAGGCAATTGGGGATGTTTTGTCTAAACGCGCACTGGACAGAAAGTTGGTCTCGGTCATATGGGGGCAGCTTCCGCAGCGGCCATCGAGACATGCATTGCACCGGCCACAAGTATGGAATGACAGGAGCACCGTATCCCCTTCTTTCAGTGACTTATCTACTACTGCCGAACCTACCTGGCGGATAACTCCAACACCCTCGTGGCCGAGAACAGCAGGATACTGCCCGATAGGCATCCCTCCTTGTTGGACAACGACATCCTGAAAGACCATAAGACACGATAGGAGCGCTTGTTAAGGCAAGATGACACGAACCGTATGACATAATCCAGTGTATTTGATCTCTACCAGCACCTCCGCTGGTTGTACTTGGTCCAAAATGATGTCACGAAGTATAAACGGGGCGCCTTTTTTCTCGACCACATACGCTTTGGTGGTGAGGGGAGCTTTCTCAGAACTCATTGTTGATCTGTGATTCACTGGTGCCAAAACTCATGGCAGTAGTAAGTGGTCGGTAATTATGAAAAGGTTAAGCTGAAAACATGGAGTCTAGGCGTACTCTCTGTTGAAGTTTGTCGGCAACACTTTAATTGACAAGCTCGGATACCAATTCCCTCCCATGGAGCGGAACCACACCCGGAGCGGAATCACAGCCGCCGTGGGTTACGACGCAGGTCCATAGACTCAGAAGTTACCACAACGCATGGGATGCAAGGATTGTATAACACCGTATTCCTTTTGTTATTACGTTGCCTCCAAGGAGAAAAAACAGCGATACACCATCCGGCGTGAATTTTAAGACTAGTACATTTGCCTCCATGTAAATCACCTGCTTGGAGTGGCAGAGTTACTGCTTTCTGGGTATGTACAAGGTCTACCGCAGAACTTGGTGTTAACCATGCATACATCCCTCTGAGCCGCCATCCAGAGCTGTATACAATATGTAAAAGGCGAATTATAATTCATTGTGCAATGCAGGAGGATCTAAGTATGATGAAGACGTGGTTCCGAGCCGTGGTTACACGTTGTGAGATACATGGCATGCACGAAGCCAGCATTTGCAATATCGATCGCTATCTGCACACAGGTTGCGTGGCTAGGTTCAGGTCTCCAGCGACCTTGTAGATATATCTATCTGGACCTCAGCAGAACAAAGAACGACTTAGTAGATAATCCATTTAGTTTGAATACTAGATTCTTAATCTAATCCAACCGGTAGTTGAAAGGCCACTCAGCCAACTCTCCTATAGCTTTCCAGACTTATAGAGACACGGAAAAAAGCCGATCGATCAGTTGTTTATTGTGTTGAGTACCTCCACGAATCAGCTGAAATAATGATCCAAACCAGAATGAAAACAGCCCAACAGTACGTACGGCTGATTTTGCGTACTACCATGAGTAGCAGATGGGTGCAGTAAGATCACCGATGCCTTGAAGTATACACTATGCTCCCTGTAGACCTTCATACACTGCCGCCTCCACACTCGCCCATAGGAGACCAGCTTCTGGGTCAACAAACGGAAGGACCTGTGATCCAACAATCCCAGCGACACCTCTTTCTCGATCACACCACCAGAAGACATTGGACAGCCCTGACCAGTGAGCTGTCGTATCTGAGCGGCCGGTCACGCCGGGAGAGATCATGAATGTAAGACCCCATCCCTGTGGTGTGGGAGTCGGGCAGAGTGGATATAGCTCTTTGCAGGGAGAGACCAGATCGGGCTTCATGGCAGATAAAGGCTGTCGAGCGAAGTCTGGGTGTTGATGAATTTGATTCGTAAACATTTCTTTTACTGTTCTGGGAGAGAGGACTTGCTGGCCGGTTTGAGGTGAACGGCCATCGTTAAGGAGAGCCACAAGAATCTCTGCCGGGATAACTGTTAGGTGAATGCTTTTGGGTGAATATCACAGGCTACTAAGGGGGGGTGAAAGGCCTACTGCTGAACTCTCGGATGCTCCCAAACAAGCCCGCACCACCGCTGTGAAATATCTCCGCAGCTTCTTTGACGTCTAGCGGCTTGTTTAGAGGGTAATCTCGACGTAAAAGGTGGCCTCCTGCGCTGCGATGCCACAGACCTACTAGTCGCTCTTTCATATGTGCTGAAGGAATCATGGAAACGTCGTGGACTTCCAGGGGCGCAAAAATGAATTGTTGCATGTAATCGTTGAGCCAAATCCCCGTAACACGTTCGACGAGTATACCTGCCCAGTCAATGTTGATCTCACTAGCCTCAGTATTGAAACTCTATCAAACAAGGAGGTTGAACGTACGCCATATTCAAATCGTTCCCCTGGTTGGTTGACTAGTGGCTGATAGAAGTCATGCATGTAGCCCGAGAACTCATTGTACTCAGGGATATAGCCGCAATGTTCTAGAAAGTATGACCGCAGTTTTCGATTCAGGAATGAATATCCGAAACCAGCTTCCGCATCACCTTGCAGTTAGAGATTGCATATATAAAGTTATTAATAGTACATAAATAGTGCTTACCGGTATGAGTCAGTAGCATTCTCAATGTGATTCCCCGTTTTTTCTCTGCCTTGGATCCATCTTCTTGAAGGACACTGACTTCTTTTAATTCCGGGCAAAGGGTTTCCACTTGGTCCGCATCGTCGAGGCCAAGCTTACCTTGCTCAACAAGCTGCATGCATGCAATGCCGGTTACCAATTTGGTGCACGAAGCTAACCAGTATATATCATCTTCGCCGTCGCAGAGCTGCCGGTCTTCCGCACCCTTCACTCCAGCGGAATGGCTGAAAAGTTCACATGTAGAACCATCTCCTTTGCCGACAACCATGACATTGGCGCAAGGGAGGCCAATATTTTCATCTGCACACGCATTGTCGATGATGGTGCGAAGGTTCGCAATCGCCTGAGGAGAGAGTGAAACGGTTGTCATGATGGTGTATTGCTAGACCAAATCTTCTGCCTACTTCGCGTATCATCTTATGATAGGGCTTGGGAACATATATACAGCTACTATGGATTAGGAACAAATCCACCCCTTCCACAGGACTGCTTCATAACTGTCGGGACCATCATCCGCCTCGTTCTTTTTGAGTTCAACCAGGTGGGAAGCTAATCATCATCACACCGTCAATGACACTGGATTCTATAGTAGCATGATGTAATCCACATTGTTCTCGATCTGGCGGTAAGGGGCTAGCTATGGATCTGTTCACAGAGTATTCTCGACAAGCTTCTGACCCTCACTTCCATGTATTTCCATGATAGAAGATGTACTTGCGGATGTGCTTCCTGCCGATTACCTCATCAACGGATGTTGTTCCGCATGATGTCGGGAGGATAAGAAACTTTCCCGAATATAGTAGTTCTTTGATATTAAGTCAATAGCATTATAGGTATACTAGATTTGAATCCGCCAGCACTGAATTCGTTATATCTTCGTCGAGGGCATATAGTCGTCTAAAGGATTATTTGATAGCATAGGATAAGCAACAGGAGTATCTGACCATGAAAGAGCATTTTATCAACTTGACGTACTAGCCTTTGTTATCATAGAAGTTAAAATAAACGTGATCCATACGAACTACAACAAGGTGCAAGGGGATGCTGTTGGACTGGTGTGTTGAATACTATCTGCTAAAAGGATACATATCTCTGAGGTGGCCAAAGCTTGGTCGGATACATAGGATGATGATGATATACATAATTTCAATCTTTCCAGGTCACAGACTTAGTCCGCACCCATTCACTCAAGCCCTCGCGCGAGTTAAATCTTCCAAAGCCACTTCTTTTCATACCTCCATGTGGTAAGGCCGTCTCGTCGTGAACAGTCATGCTATTAATGTGCACCGCGCCGCTCTGAATTTGTTTGGCAATCTTGAAGCCTCTGCGCAAGTCTTCGGTAAATATCGCGGAGCTCAACCCGTACTCCGTATCGTTGGCGACCTGGACGGCCTCGTCATCACTAGTGATGGTGATGATGCTCACCGAGGGGCCGAACGATTCACTATGGTAAATATCCATCGATGTATCCACATTTTCTAGTAGCGTCAAGTGCATTTTAGTTGCGCCATTGGATATGGCAACATCGCTTCTCGAGGCCCTTGCACCTTTGGATATCGCATCCTGGATTAGTCTGGTGCTCTTGTTGAGAGACGACGCGTTGACGACCTGCGCTGTCTGGTCGGGAAACAAGCTTGCTACTGCCATCTTAAGTGCTTCGGTGAACTGCGTGGCCACTTCCTCATGGACCAGAATCCGCTCAGTGGACATGCAAATCTGACCCGAGTTGAGGAATGACCCCAACGCACACTCCGCTGCCGCCAGTTGAAGATCAGCATCGTGACACACAATCGCCGACGCCTTTCCGCCCAGTTCCAACAGAACGGGTTTCAGAAATTTCCCAGCAGTGGAAGCAATGATGGAACCCACAGCGGTGGAGCCAGTGAAGTTGATCTTCTGAACCAATGGATGGGAAATAAGTGCAGTCGTGATCTGTACCGCTTCGCTTTGACGGTGGTATAAAGTATTCAGACAACCTGGTGGGAGTCCTGCCTGGTGCAAAGTATCGGCAATTGCCCAGATAGGCTTCGGTGCAGTCTCTGGACCCTTGAGAACGACTGTGTTCCCGGCCGCCAGTGGCAGGAGACATGACCTGAGGCCGAGGATATAAGGCGCATTCCAGGGTGCAATGGCGCCGACTACACCGTACGGCTCCCGTAGCACTACCGCACTGTGCTCTGGTGCGGCGACTGTGGGCTGATCACCTTGGATGGTTTGAATGAGACCTGCGATGTCCTTACACATTTGTTGGATCAAGTCCCACTCCACATCAAAGAACATCTGCCCTTCACCCGTCTCCTGTCTGACATATTGGAAAAGCTCATCCTTGCGCTGCGCGATGATCTCCGCCGCACGGAGGAACACATCTCGCTTCTCCTGTGGCTTCGTGCGAGACCAAATTTGGAAGGCCCTGTTGGCACTCTCGACCGCGGCAGAAACGTCCGTCTCGGACGCAGTAGAACACTGATACAGAATCTCATGGTTTACTGGGGAAATCACATCGAAAGTCGACGGTGTACAGACTTCTCGACCATGGAGCCAAAAGGGGAGCACTGATGCCCTGGGGTTGGTTGAGCCTGCAACTTCCATGGTAAGCGTTGTATGAGGAGATATTTGATAACGACCACGACGTCCGGATTTAGGAAACACTGGTAAATGTGGATTTTACATACCACTAGCCGCCTGTTATACAGACCGAACCTTCGTCTAGAATCTGATTTACAATACTATCCAGTGAACAAGTGGTGGAGTCGGCACGAGATCCGGAGCTATGGGGCGGCAACTCGGAGTGATACATTTGTAGAACTTTTAACTAATATCTCAATTCGAATCAATTCCGGTAGGACTACTTGCAAGCGACCTGAATAGAGGTGATAACACTGCCGCCAAGCTTGATGACATTCATGCGGATGTGGATCCGGATACCGGTGCGGGTGTATTCCCGCCATGTTACATACAAGTTGGTATATGTTTGTATGGGAATAATAGACCCCGAGAAGGTTGTTGTACAGGATACAAATTAATTTGTATCTTTTCCAACTTTAGAATCCAGTTGATAATTTGAATTTAGGGAGTTATATTTACGTCATCCCTTTGCTGTTCACAACAAGATGGCTGGTGTTCCCGGATTACTTGCTGGCAAGGTCTCCATCGTTACTGGAGCTTCTTCTGGTCTGGGCCGCGCAATTGCTTTGGCCTTCCATAAACATGGGGCGACGGTCGTCTGTGCGGATCGCAATGCCTCGAGCAAGGCGCCACCACAGCCAACGCACGAACTCATCCAGGCTGGCGCGGGACAGAGTATCTTTGTCCCAACCGATGTCACAAATGCCAGCAATGTGAAGGAACTAGTCCAAACGGTGGCTGATAAATTCGGTCGAGTCGATGTGTATGCTCTGCGGTTTTATTCGGTGATATTTGAGCTGATGAGGCTGCAGAATGGTGAACAACGCAGGCGTTGCTCCGGAAGCATCAAATCCGTGCCCCGTCAATAACACGACTGAAGAGGTCTTCGATATGACGTGGCAAGTCAACGTACGAGGTGTATTTTTGGGGTGCAAATATGCTGGTGCGCAGATGCTCCGGCAACCGAGGATTGCGAGTCATCACAGCGCAGGCTCTATCATCAATGTATCATCGGTCTTGGGCCTGGTCGGCCTTTCTGGGACGCCAGCATATGCAGCTTCCAAGGGCGCGGTACTGGCCCTGACGCGCACTGTCGCCATGGACTACGCACCTCATGGCATTCACTGCAATGCTATCTTACCGGGGTGTATGGTTGTTCCCAATCCTTTCAATCCCCGTGCCTGTATTGACGGCTGACTGACGAGATCTTGGGGAGAATACAGTTACTCGAACCCCCATGATCGCCTCGATGACCGAGGATAGCGAATTTGAGAATATATTGAAAGAATGCCATCCGCTCCAACGGATCGGAGATGCAGAAGAGATCGCAGACGCGGCGGTCTTCCTGGCAAGCCGGTACTCTAAGGGTATCACTGGAGTTAACCTGTCGGTGGATGGAGGATTACATGCTCAACTTCGGCTGAAGTGATTCACTTTTATACTGCTTTTTAGTCAGCCACTGTATGAACCATTCGGTTAGGTTATTTCGAATATTTCGGTGACTTGAGCCGACAGGGATACTAAATATTTATCCCGTCCTAGCCACACTTTATTTGGGTGATTGCGATTCTTCATCACCATGATATGCTGCAAATTTGAAGTGCGTGTATATATAAAACCGCCTTCCATGCGAGTTACGCATGAAAATTCGATTTCAAACCATGTATAATACTGACTTATTTTTGTAGTTTTTGTTCTGGTGATATTCAATACTATAGCACTGAACAAGTAAATGGCTAAGCTGTGGTAGTATATAATTATAGTTATATCTCTCGTGATGCTTCTAAATTTTCGTTTAATTAGACATGAATTCGAGCATTTCCATAAGGAGCTAGAAGGAAGTTCTTTCATAGTGACACTCTCAACCGTCTTGCGATTATGTATAAATTTCTATGCTTGTTCTATTATAGTGCGGGGTGTTTACCCCGGGTGTGGGGATTGATTTAATATTGCCACCGGAAGCCGAATGTTTTTTCTCCAAATAAGGTTCCGCGCCCTCCCTTACATTTACATACGCGGAATGCGTACCAGATTTATTCTTCCCGACTCAAGTCTCCCATCAATAGTCGTCCCCGTTTTTTATGGCCACAAACAGAGGCAAATGTCTCCCGCAGAATTCTCTGGTGATCGCAAACGACGTCGAATTGCCGTTGCTTGCAATGAGTGCCGCGAGCGAAAGAGAAAATGTGACGGGGTGAAGCCCGTCTGTGGCGCATGTGCCAAAAGACCTTCTCCACGATGCGTCTGGGATGAGGGACGGAACGCTAAAGGGTGGAATCATAGGTATGGTCATTTCTGGAACCGAGTTGAGATTGTCACTCACACGCCCGTCTAGTTACGTCGAGTCCCTAAGAGGTCGAATTCAAGAATTAGAGGAAGGGCAGGCAATGGCCGATGCTCGGCAGACTAGCCAGGGCGACGGTGCTACTCGGCAACTCTTTGCGGACGAGACGGACGAGCTTGGACTGCGTACACCTCAGCAGTCTATGACATCACCGGAGATGGTTGCAATGTCAGAGGTGACCACCATGCCAGCTCCGGACATAGGTGAGCTTCCCTCCTACTCGACTGCCGGAGGATACACGGACGCCGTGCAGTCAGGGGTGCTGGGCCGGAGTTCTGCAGCAGCAGAGGATGACTCCGACGATGAGTCTGCCATTGATGCCATGTGTGTCTTTGGGTCCTTTGACGATCGGGGGCGCCAGGGGTCCGACTTTTTTGGTCCTTCAAGCACCATCAGCTTTCTCAGCCATGCTCGTCGGGCCATGGGTCATAAAGAGAGTGGCCCAGGAGCATCTCAATCAAGGAATGGGCTACCAAGAATTTTACGGCATGAAGGTATTGGCGTAGGAGGGCGCTCGCTGTCCTCAGTACGCATCACGCCCAAGACTAGTATCAGCCACGCGGAGTACCGATTCAGCATTCCACCGCGACAGAAGGCCGACGCCCTACTCGATAGCTATTGGACCTATGTTCATTCCCTGTACCCATATCTGCACCGGCCTTCGTTCACCCAGAAATATCTGACTCTATGGTCGCCAGCGCCAGACCGTCTCTCCTCTAAGGCCTCAAGGTCTCCGCAAAGCCGAAATTACTACTCGAATATAGATGAGAAATTGTTCCATTGCCTCCTCAATTTGGCTTTTGCTTTGGGATCTCAGATCGGGCCAACCACGGAGGACGGCGATCGAAGTCAGCTGGGGTTAACATTCTTTGAGCGTGCTAAAGCTTTGATGGACTTTGATCTCTTCGTCCAAGGCAACATTTTTCTCGTGCAGATGCTTATACTCATGGGACAGTATCTTCAGAGCACTGATATGGCCAGCGCATGCTGGACCATGGTCGGCCTGGCGATTCGCACTGCGCAAGGCATAGGTCTTCATCACGAACCCGGGCTTTGTGATCAGGGGTGTTGTTCAAAGACGAAGCTGAGCCAGCTGGAAACTGAGATGCGGAGACGAGCCTGGACCGGCTGCATCCTCTTGGACCGGTAAGTCATTTTACGTCATGAAGATGGTTCCGAATACTTGGTCTAATATCCCTCAGGGTCTGTTCCATGACATTTGGGCGGCCACTAATGATCCATCCCGCCATATCCCAACGCTGTGTTCCCCCGTCTGCCATTGACGATGGCCTTTTGGCCCAGGACCCGGGCACGCCAGCAACACAACCAGCCGATATTCCCAGCGTGACTGAGTTCTACGTCCAATGCATCCAGCTTCAAAATATTCTCGGTGAAATTCTTGACACCCTATACTATGGGGGCAGTGATAAAGGAAGTGGAAAGCTCGATGTCAGTTTCAATTTTATAGCGGCATCCACAGCACACGACAAACTCCACGATGGTGGATTACAAGTGTTGCTCAACCTCGACAAGTCGCTTTCTTCCTGGTGCCAAAGCTTGCCCGCTCACCTCAAAGCCCAGAATTATAATTTCACAGCTTTGGAGAGCAGTAATCTGTTTGGGCCGGACACTCCCACGTTCAATCGACAGGCAATCATTCTTCATGCAAGGTCTGTGTGGAATCTTTAATCAGCTTCTGCTAAATTATGCGTTACTCATGTTGCTTAATTGGTAGGTATCTTCATGTGCGATTGTTTATGTTCCGTCTGGTATTGTCGGCGGCGCTTTTCCATTCTCAAGATACTGCATCGGAGCCGAACCACTCCATGGAGTCAGCGATGCGACAAGATATTCTTGATAAAGGTGTCAATCTGTGCGTGTCGTCCGCGTATGACCTCGTCGAACTGATTACCGCCAATCTCCACGTGCACAACGATATCCTTCCTCCATCCTGGCACAATGTTTTCTGTATGGGCTCCTCTATCCTCGATTGATCGCCTGTTGCTGATCCATCAATTTCTCTAGATATGCATAGCTGTGCAATTGTCTTTCTGATCTGTCACCTCTGCTGCCTCAGCCGTATCCAGGACGAGAATATCCTTACTACCGGCTGGAATAAATGCTTAAGCTTCTTCCGCTCCTATCGATTACGGAGTCGGTCTGCCAAACGGTGTCTCCGAATCATGGAAGCCGTCCGGGGGGATCCCTTCCCTTCCCAAAACCGTAGGTCCCATTGACATGCAGCACCCAAGATGTACCGATTCATTGATAATTCATGCTTAGATACCCATCCTGTCAACCCTTGTGATGACTCGTCCAGCTGGCGCCAAAATGTATCCTTACAACACGAGGACGAGTATTCTCGACAGCCATTCGAACAATTCATGCCCGCTGATCAAACGACGGCAAGCTGGATAAGTGATCCTACTGAAATCAATTGGCTGTCGATATTCCCTTTTGTAGAGGGGCTGGACGATGGGCATTCAGGATTGGGCGAAATTGGCCACGACCAGAACGCCGTTGATTTCTAGGACAACCCCTACGTGTAGTTCTAGTGTTCTATGCCCTTGTACTATCATAACATAATGATTTTAAGACCTCTGATCCACCCCTCCACGGCATTATGCTCATACTCCAGGAAAATGACGGAATCACGAATGACGGTCTTCTACTTTGAGCTTGGAACTCTTTGGAGTTGGAATGAGATATCAATTACGCACTACACTGACAGGACCCATCGCGCATTCTCTACATATCAAAGAGACTCTGCAAGAGGTCACTGCGGCATTTGCGTACAGTGGGGAAGGGAGGTGACTGGATGTATCATGGTTTTGTGAAGCAAGTTCAATTTGGGCAGAGTCCTAATTAACAAGCTAGGCCCTTTGTCCCATGTGGTCTGGGCTACTTCAGTCGAGGAAACAAGGCTAGGGCATTCCCACGGTTAATCTTCTCAGCGAGACTGGCATCCTCAAACTGGTAGTTGTCCTGGCGTGATGTGTGGAAATTGACGATGTCATTGTTCGCATACGGCGTGTCGCTGCCGTATAGGAGGTGACCAGGCTTGGCGAAAGTTTCCATGACACGCAGCACGTTCTCCGAGCCAGCTACAGCCGTGTCGTAGTAGAAATTGCGGGCATCATCCCAGAAGGCGTCCAGCTCCTCCGATGTCTTCGTCAGGATACTGGCTGGACGACTGAGGAGGAAGGGCAAAGTGCCACCTGCGTGGGACAAGATGATCTTGCAGTTGGGGTTGTTCCGGACCGTCTTATTATACAGCATGTCGAGGGCGGCTTGGGTAGTCTCGAACGGGTACCGGATGACCGGCTGTGGCAGGCCACTAACTTGGCTGGTGTCAACTGGGTGGGTAGGGTGCACTAAGACGACGGCCGAGCGACGGTTGAGCGCGGCCCAGATATCTTCGAAGTCCGGATGACCCAGGTAGTGGTTGTCCTCGCCATACCGGGTGAAGAGCACCACGCCGTCGGCCTTGAGTACATCATATGCATAGGCGATTTCCTTGAGCGCCAGTTCTTTATCCAGGAGACTGGGCAGCGATGCAAAAAACCCGTACTCCTGGGGTTTCTCATCGCGGAGTTTGGCAGCATATTCATTGGTGTTGCGTGCCAGATTGGCTGAGGCCTCAGGGTCTTTAAGGATACAGGCTCCCGGGGCTGTCAAGGAGAGAATGCTAGTTGTGATGCCAAACTGCTTGTTCACCTTCGCATCCAGCTCGGGCGTCCAGTCAGGAATGAACCAACCGGATGGATCACCACCAGAGCTTTGCAAAGCTAATTATGGAATATGTTACAAAATGAAAAAAATCGTAATTTAGAAGATGAAGAAAACTTTAGCTTACCTTCACGGTAAAAGTCCGGGACAAAGTGGTGGTGGACGTCGATTCTGTTCGTGACACCCATTTTTTCCAGGAAAACTGAGATTGGCAAATATCAAAGTATCTAGCAAGCCCCTCGTTATGCTTTTGGGAGTATGAAACGTATTTCCGGTTCTTCAAGATGGACGGCGATCTTTTATAGGTATAAAATACCAAGCAAATTTCCCCACGCTGCCTCCAGTGGCTTACATCCGAACTCCCGGGAAATCATCACCATGCGCACGGGGGAGTACCCGCATCTCCACAGTTGTGCCAGCGTTATGCACACTGTTTACACGCAACAGGTACTAATCTTGAGATGTTTCCAGTGGAATCAGGACAAGTGTGGGGATGACGAAGCCCGGGTTCACATCCGCATCCCCGGGATCATCTACCGCACCTCTTCCCGGGGAGGCGTGGAGAGAACGCCTCACCAAATGTTGGTAAAGTCAATCATATATAAGACATTTTATCGGTTCTATTGTTCCGTGTCAAGTTTGAGCAAGTCCAATTTACGCAGTTCTACCGTACATCATGAACCACCACGCTTCTGACCGCGTCCACGATGTAATCATCGTTGGTGCTGGGATTTCCGGCATCAACACTGCCTATCATCTCCAACGCAAGCTTCCCGAGCTCACTTACTCAATTTTAGAGGCCCGTGAGAATGTCGGGGGCACATGGGACTTGTTTCGCTACCCTGGTATTCGATCAGATACCGACCTCCACACATTTGGCTTTGGGTGGAATCCCTGGAATGAAAACCGTGCCATTGCCGACGGAGGGTCCATTGCAAGTTACTTACGCCAATCGGCTGAAAAGGAGGGCATCGATCGACATATTCTATTTCGACATCGCGTCGTCATGGCCAATTGGTCAACGGCTAAACAGCAATGGGATTTGGACGTGGAAGTCAAAGGCGGCCAGCGGATCCCACTCCGTGCCCGATTTCTCGTTCTAGGAACCGGATACTATGACTACACCGAAGGACTTCAGCCTGATATTCCGGGACTGTCCAACTGCTTCACGGGCACGGTTGCACATCCGCAGTTCTGGCCCGAGGACCTCGACTATGCCGATAAGCGAGTCTTGATCATTGGCAGCGGTGCCACGGCCATCACCCTTCTTCCCAATATGGCGGCCAAGGCGGCGCACGTCACGATGTTGCAGCGCAGCCCTACGTATATTATGTCCATCAACAACACGACCGGCGGCTCGTGGAGACACAAGCTGCTGCCGCGCAACTGGTCATTTAAAATTGACCGGTGGATTTTCATGTGGTCTATTGTCCTTATCTACTACTTTTGCCGACTCTTCCCAGAGCGATCTCGAAAATCCCTGCAACAAGCGGTTGAGAAACAGCTTCCCGACCACATCCCTGTCGATCCACACTTCACACCACAGTATAAGCCCTGGGACCAGCGACTCTGCTTTGCACCCAACGGCGACTTCTTCGCGAGCCTACGCTCAGGGAAGGCGCACGTGGAGACTGGTCGGATCAAGAGCATCACGGCGAACACTGTACACCTCGAGTCAGGCAAGCAGCTGGAGGCGGACATCATTGTCCCGGCCACGGGATTAAAACTAGCCATTGGTGGACGCATCCAAATCCAGATCGACCATAAGCCTGTCGACCTGGCAGATCGATATGCCTGGCACACAGCACTCCTGCAGGACGTGCCTAACCTCGCCTTCATGATGGGATACATTAATGCATCATGGACGCTAGGTGCTGAAGCGGCCAGCCACATCTTGTGCCGGATTTGGCAACATATGAAGAAGAATGGCTACAACACTGTCGTCCCCCGCGTCCCGGCCGGGTCTGCAATTCAGCCGCGGATGATATGGGATCTGGACGCGACTTATGTCAGAAAGGCGACACGCAGTATGCCTCGATGTGGCAACTTTGGGCCATGGAAAGGGCGGACCAGCTATGTCGTTGATATTTGGAAGGCTAAATACGGGAGTATCACTACAGATCTGGAGTTCCACCCAGCTAGTCGGAAGTCGCAGTTGCAGTAGCCAGAAGCTTCGTCGCTCACCCACTCACTCATTGACCGCGTAGGGAACAAATATCATGTATATAATATACCAAACAAGAAGGTGAAGAGGAGGCCATTCTGTCGTTTTTCCGTTTGGCTGTTTTAGTTCTATTTTGAATTTCATTTTCCCATATAACGGTTTTGCTTTTTATTTTATTTTTTTTTTTTCTTTATTAAATGCTAAATATATTCCCCAGCTTCTTTCTATCGGTATTAGCCCTGAGTGACGGCCAGATTGATATGTAGATATCTGCAGCTCTATAGATAGCAGGATGGGGAGATACTAGTAGACAAAGAAGAAATAGAGAAGAACAATACCTATTATAGTGATAAAAGAAGACATACATAACGGTGTGGCAAACATACACCTGCTTTACATAGACCCATCCTAGTAACTGTTATACGCGAGAGGTATGTTACCCACCAACAAAATACCCAGCTCATGGCATGTTCATAGGATTCAAAGGGCATTACTCACTGGAATCAATCCAACTGCCTATCTCCGCACGTATTCAACTGGTTTGAACCTTCTAGTGGAAAGAAACTTTCAAGATGCGGAGTCTGGCCCGGGAAAAAGAGAACCGCTTAGTGATCCTGCGGAAGACCATCCGTTAAGAGTTCCCACTTACTCCAGTTCCTCTCCGCTTGTTTGGATGTATTCCGGTGAGCAGTGGATCTGGGGTCCCCAACATTTTCATCTCTGCATTTCTCTCCATTGCGGGGCCCCGGAATCTCCAAAGAGGATTTATATTTAAGCTTGAGGCCAGAACCAAACTCTCCAAGGTCAATAACTAGTAACTAGCCGTCTTCTCCATCTCTAAAGCGAAACTTGGACCGCTCCAATTATATCCTACCCAAACTACTTTATGCATATATTTCTCTCTCGCTCTACCCTTTGACCTTTGTTTCATTCGGCATACACAAAATGACCGTCCCAAAGCAGCTCAGTCATACAACACTGACCGGTGGCCTCCTCTTCGGCGAGGCGCCTCGATATAAAGACGGCCTCCTTTACCTCAGTGACATGACAGGCCGGACCATATACACCATTGACACGCAGTCAGGTGAGAAGAAGACGCTGTGCGAGGTAGAAAACCAGCCCAACGGCATGTGCTTCGTGCCGGATGGGTCACTGATCTGGTCATCCATGTTCGACGCCAAGTTGTACCGTCGCGACTTCACGACTGGCAAGGACACCCTGTATGCCGACCTATCCCCCATCATGACCGGCTACTGTGGCGACATGACCGTCGACAGCACCGGGCGCGTGTATGTGGGCGACACGGGCGCGCGCGTCCTGCACGGCGAGCAGCCGCGTGCCGGCCGTTTGTTGGTCGTCGAGCCGGAGGGCAAGTCTGTGCAGGTGGCCGCCGAGAATATCATGTTCCCGAATGCGCTCTTCATCAGTAACGATGGCGAGACTATCTACTGTGCTGAGACGTTCGGGTATGGCCTGCTTCGTTGGGATATAGGAGCGTCTGGCCGGCTGTGTAATCGCCAGGAAGTGTGGTCACCGGTTGTCGTCTCGCCGTCTGGTAAGGTTGGTAATACTGAAGAGCATGGTCTTGTGGGGATTGATGGCGGATGTATGGATGCCGAGGGCGGTATGTGGCTCAGTCTGCTGGGCCTTGATAAGTTTGTCCGTGTTGACCAGAATGGATTTGTGACACATGAGATCAAGGCTGGGGGCCATGCTACTGCTTGCACCCTCGGTGGCCAGGATGGCAAATCCTTGTACTTGGTCACTAACTGGGTCCCTGAGGGTGAATCTCTCTTCTCGGCTATGGTAGGCAAACGCACGAAGTGTACTATCAGCTATGTCCGGGTCGACGTTGGGAAAGGCACGTCCAGCCCGTGATGGTTGCTGCATATTTGAGTTATATTGTTTTATAGTAGTTAGGTGCTGAAATCAATGACCTTTTCAGCCACTATTACGTTCACACCCAGCGGTTAACTATGAGGAATATGGCCTTTTTTTTGGGGGGGGGGACCATTTTGCAACTCTATGCTGCATACTAAGGGCATGAGCCAAGTTGGACACTGTATCTATGCCCTTGTAGAACGATGAAGAGGCTCTTTATCTATACCTAGCGGAATCGAGTTGTCGTAGTCTAACTGAGTACATGCCGGGGACGTGTTCTTACGAAAAGAATCACGGTTATTTAAACATGTAATGGTCATTGCCATAATCATCTAGAAAATTTCCCATACCTTCATGAAGTTGCATTGTATCTACTGCTTTTCGTTCATACGCTTCTTTTCTGTCTGGACTTATTGGGCCAGAGCACCTTTGTCATTCAGAGAATAAGTAATTGGTCCAGTATAGCTTGTTCAGCCGCAAAAATATATTTCTCTATAGATTCAAAGGCATCCATACCTATGGTCTCTGAATGATTGCACGGTAAACAATAACTGGCTAGCTGTTGACTAAAAACGATAGATAGTGGCATGTAATCAATAATATCCACTCCTACTGAATCCTACAAAGTTCTTTATTGTTTCTCCCCTTAGTAGCCGGAAGGCAAGCATATAAAGGAAATATGCGTTAAGGTCCCTTTTAGTTGTTTCCCAGGATTGGATCTACCTGAGAACTATCCCTAATGCATCAAATAAATGCAATAAGTGCTGGGTTTCTGTATATTATAACAATCAACATGCAAATTTCGTCGCTGAAGTGAGATATACAAATCGAGAGATACAACAAAGGCAATGTTGATCAGATGACTGATCTCACGCATCTTTGCTGATGTAATGGCGGATAACACTGTACCTCCACTGCAAGGGCCGTAGTTCGTATTCCTTCTCCCTCAGCCTAGAGATAGACTCGAGCCCCTCACTGTAACTGGAGATTCCGGTAACGAGAAGGGAGCGTGATTCCATAGTTTGGGAAGGTCGGTCGAAGGAGGGTGTTTTGATCAAGGTAGGTTCAATGAAGCTAACCAGTAAAAGAATGAAAGAAGAACAACTTGGAAACCCTCAGACTTGGTTACCAGGATGGGATATCATTACATAGCTATATATGGTACTGCATTGATGGTCCTTGGCACCAAGCGGTGTTGCAGAGAACGAGATTTCTAATACTCAAGCTAGGATGACAAATCATTTTTCTACACCATTAGACTCAAGTCGGCTAGAATATAGCGGCATTGAATTTTCCCTGGCTTTGTATGAGTTATATCCGTGAGCCGATATGTTAGTGTTCGACAGTATCAAGGTTCCGCTTCCGTTTACAAAAGATGGGGAAATCTTTAGCTCAGCAAGCTCAGGCCCTCTGCATAAACTGCTTATTAACCTATGTAGATTCACTAACCAGCTTGTCTCATTGCTCTGACGAGGGAATAAGCTGCCACCTATTGATTGGTAGTAGGGTTTGTATAATACTACTCAGCAGTCGTCAGAGGGGCTGAGCTCGCTGAGATAAGGCTTTATCACAACAGCCCACCACTGCAGTCTAAACCAATCACCCCCACTGCTCAGTCCCGCTCGCCACTTTTGAGCTTTCTATAAGAATCTCACTCCCTCCCCCGGCCTGTTCAACACTGGTTTAAACCCCCCCCCCCCCCCAAAATCCCCTATTTCCACACCTACAGGCTTGCTTACACCGTGACTAACTGTACTACTGCCTAGCACTGACCCCTTTCTATAAACCGATAACTCCAGAAATAACGCGGCCTTGAGAGACAACATTACCATAGCTATCTTTACAAGTTACTATTTATTTATTGACTAACTTACCACAATCTATACTATTTTTCACGGTTTCCTACACAGTCCGTCCTATTCCAACCACTTCTACACCACTTACATGATAGTCCAGGCCAGGATTCACGAACAGAGCTGACAGTTTTGAATTCCCCCTTCCCCTCTAGTATGAGATAATCGGCTTTTGTTGACAGATCCGGTATAAGAGATACTATATTTTTTTTTTTTTTTTTTGGTTTGATATCTCCTTTTCTTAGAAGAAAAGGGAGAGAGAAAGTAAGGATCTCCAAGAGTCAAGACCTGGTCCCTCAACTTGTTTGGGGTTTCTTTCATCCTAGGTGGGGCGTACCTGCTCCAAGGCCATGACGTTTTGAAAGTGTGGCCCTTTCATGTTACTGCGACCATCAAAGATGGCCAACATTGATATTCTCTCCAATAACCCTCTTTTTCTTGAGGATACCCTTGATATCGATGGGAGCCTGGAATGTGTATTTCTTTCGGCTTTGTCCACCCGTTCCCCTGGTCTTTCTTCCACTTTACTGCCACCTCTTGACTTTCTCGAAGAGGTTGTCCCGCGCAAGCTTCCCCAAGAAGACCTCCCCTTAGGTTTTCTTTAGGACTATATATTATAAATACATCAACATAAAATGTTCTCAACCAACAGGTGTCTGCCGTGCATGGACACGGTGGATCCACGCACACACATCCGTACCCCGCCGAAGCCATCCGTCCAGAATCAACAACGGCCAGGGCAAGCCCCGGCACATGATGTTTCTCCGTCAACCACTTCACTCGTCACTCGAAGACATCGGAACGCAGATATTCGATGAGATTCATTTTTGCCAATATGTCTTCCACCAATTGTAGGGTCTCTATGGAGCGCGATCGACCCGCGCCACCTGTTTAGGGGTTTTGGTTGGGTGGGGGGTTGGTTGGTAGTTGTGGTTTATAACTATGTCTGGCACTCAGGACTGGTCAGACGTACCACAAGGCTGCAAGGCAACAAGCAAGCAAGCAAGCCTACGTGGTTGCAGGTCAGCTGGGGGAATGGGGCTTACTAAGACCCCCGAGTCAGCGTGTGGATGAGAGAGAGAAAGAGAGAGAGAGAGAGAGGTAACATAAAGTCTCGGGACTACACGATTTAATCCATGCCAACTGCAATGGTGGCCCCACCACCACTACATAGCTAGGCTGGATGATGCCCCCGCAAGCCACCAAGGTGAAGACGGCAAAGTAGCAGGAAATAACCATGTGTCATTGCAGGCGGGGTTTTGGCCCTTGGCCACGAATGAAGTACGGTGATCGCTTTCCTCGCGGGCTATCCCCACCGTGATTCAAATACATAAATAACTCTTCAAGCCAAACCCTGAGTTTCATCTACACCCCTTAACAGACAGCTCATATTCCTCTCACACACGCTCAACATGCCTCGTGATGCCGATTTCCTCAGCCCTCGCGATCTCCTCGTCAACGACAACTTCTGCCTGAAGTTGGCTTCGTTCAAACAGCTCGCAAATGTTATTGTGAAGACGGAGAACCTGCCCCGGGACGATGATAGCCTCCGCCAGAAGACCGGGTTCTGGGAGAGCGGTTACCAGATTGTGAGATGAGGAGAAGAATCCCCAGATCCAGCATACTGACTGATGGTGGACACAGCTCTATAGCTATCTGAACCCCATCGCCCAGCAATTCTGGACAGTACGTTCGGGCATTTCATTCTCCCTACCCAGTCACCATGACCGGCGGGATATGCGTTGACAATTGCATCGCAGGTACAGAACGTCGCTCTCAACCTGAATGTACGATCCTCTTCTTCCTTGTCCCAATGATCTCGACCGAAAAGAGCCTACCGCGGGTCCTCTCTCTATCGAGCCCCTTTTGGATTATCGCTCTCTTCCGCTGACACCACTTTGGCTCTGAACCAGGAAACATATAACTACACAGACACTGTCTGTCAGAAGGTCTTGGACCTTTGCGACCGTGCCCCCGACGACTACGGTATGTCGAACTAGCACCACCGGGGGATTTTTTGGTCCCCCGACTCCCTTGAGTGAGCATGTTGAGCTGGGGCTCAACAGAGGTAACAACCCTAAGACGTGAACGGCCACTGACTCTCGGCCTCCAGACAAAATCTTCATGGACCTCGAAGCCTTGCGCAAGGATCCCGACAACGCGTCCCTGCGCGAGAAGGTCCTGGAAGAGGTCAACGACCGCCACTCCGAGGTTAAGACTCTTCGAGACCAAGCCACCATCTGGAGCAGAGACCTGCATTCCTACAGCATGGACGCAGGTGATTGCGAGACGACCGTGCGTGGCCTGGCCGCCCCCTTCCAGGGCTCCGCGCTACGCGATCGGTTGATCGAGGAGGATGCCCAGGATAACCTCCAGGACGACCTGGATGCTTTGGGGAATGTCAAGGTAAGCGTTGAGTGGGGTGCCCTTCCCGGCCTGAAACGGTGCGAGCTGATCAGGCGCCATGATGCAGAGCCTGCTGGATGGATTCAGCATGGTGGACGATATGGGCGCTTCACTGGAGGAGGTGCAGAAGATGTCCGGTGAGTGAGCGGCGTGGCGAATTCCAACCAGGGACTGCAATGACTCATTGGACTTGGGGCATGACTACAGGGAGTGCGACGCTCATTGAGGATGATATTCAGAACCTGGTTGACTATCTTGATAAGCATGTGGATCCGGATGACAACCCGCTCGAAGGGCTGGTTGAGCGGAACCTGCTGAAAAGATGGGCCACTCTGCAAGAACATGGTAGGCAGCCCACACTCGCTTTACATTTCTATCATGGTCATTCTGCGGGCCTTCCCGAGGACGGGGGCCTCGCATCCCAGCGTCACGGACAGAAGGCTAACGCCCCGGTCATCACAGTCATCGCGTTCAAGAATGCATACATGAATTGAGATCGGGACGACGGAGCAAGGCTACAGGAGGTAAAGCACGCACAAACCAGAAAGGAAGGATTAATGGAGTCTGAAAGTAGATATATAGACAATACAGCTAGCACTTAGGGATCCGGAACCTTCGTCACTGCCTCGACTGTGTCCAGACGACTCTCTACACATCTGTCTCTCAGTAGGGCCGATACCTTCCATTCCAGTGAAGCTGGATCTTGGTCAGGGTACTCATGTCGACATTCTCGGGCGTCTCCAGAGTAATGGTCCACTGGGTAAAGGGCGGTGGCTCCGCATGGTTGGTCGGCTCGAATATGGCGTTCTCGCGTGTGCGTAGAAAGCTGCCGTCGGGACCGATTTCATACGAATAGCGTTTTTGCTGCATTGGGCTGACGAAGTAGAAGACCTGGTCGTGCTGGATGTCGCTGTACGATCCGGACGTCTCGATCTTGAGACTAACCACTGCGCGTCCGTCGTGAACGGCCTCGGGATGCGGCTTCACATCCATGAGCTGGATTTCTAACCCGTCTAGTCGGTAGTGAGAGCCATTTGTGAAGGGATAGGCGAAGTTGTGCTCCCCCGCCTGCGAACTGGCCTGCGGCGTGGCAACGAGAGTGAAGGTCGCCTTGTGGCCTTGACTGCTGTCTTTGAGCCCATCGATGACAAGCTGTGGAAAGTTGGAGGGCAGCTACAATAGGGACAGTTCCTGGTCAGTACAGCATCTAAAGGCTAGAACCGCACTGACTTGACTCACCTCATCAGAGTACACGTAATAGTCAAACGCTGGGCAGAACGACAATGATCAGCAGGCGTCCTGACGGCGGGCAGAGCAACATCGACTCACGAGTGAAATCCTCGGCATATTGGTTATCGACGTTCTGCATCTCGGTCTGCAGCGTCAACAGATTTTGTTGGAAGTCGCCGACTGACTGCTGCGACTCCAGCCTCACCTGGCTGTCCTGCAGGGCGTAGAAGCGATAGGCGTCGATGATGTATTGGAGCTGAATTGCCAGGCTGGTCTTCAGCTGCAGGAATCGGTCGTAGAACTGGGCCTGGCCGGCAGCATAGATCGCCTCCTCGCCATGGTAGGTATCCAGCAAGGTTTGGAGGTTCTGGATATCCTGGTCCGACTGCAGGACCTCCAGCGTCGTTTGCACATACTGCTGGCCCTGCTTGATGGCTTCGGCCTGGGCCTGGGCCAGCGCTCTTCCATGCACCGCGTGCTTGCGCAGGGCTAGTCGATACTGGCTGGCGCCGCGAATTTTCTCTTGGTCAGCCGCCCACTCCATCTGTTGATCGCACTCCAATTCCCAGTCATCCCAGGCCGCCAGGCTAGTGATCAGACTGGAATCGGCATCGGAGCCTCCGGAGCCAGAGATATCGTTCAAGGAGGGAAGGTCCACGTCGTCGCCCCCTGGAAGAGCGGTCAACTTATTCGCCGCCGCGACCAGCGCATCGACCTTGGGATAGAGCTTCTGCAGCGCCTTGGTGAATTTCCATAGCTTCTGCAGGGTGCTTGAGGTCATGATCTGGCCGACTTCGGCTGCTCCTTCCTCGACCTTTTCCACACTGTCGACGGCGTCTTCCACTCCCTTGGCGGCGCCTCCCGGATCATCTCCAATACACAATTCGGCGATGCCAAACGCAAACTCTAGTCAATCCCAACGAGGAGAGCATCAGCATCCGTGGCCTCGCGTAGACAGGTTGAAAGACGAGAACGGCAACGAGAGACGAAAGGGGGGTGCGGAGAAGGAGGGCTCACCAAAGATGGCTGACAGGATTGCAAACGCCGCTTTGAGGATCTGATTTTTCTCCCAATCCACAAGACCTTGATCGAAGACATCCTTTGCGTCCTGGAGCTCGTCGTCGTCGTCACTCAGCTGCTTGGCGCACGCGTCGGCCGTGCTGCGGGCGTCCTGATACTTGGCCAAGGTTTGGGACTGCAGACTCAGGCGGGTGGCGCGCTGGTCCTGCGCGTTCTGCAGCATGGTGGTCCAGGCCGCGATCTTGTCGGCCACTTCGGCGCCCTTATCTTGGAAGCGCTGATATTGGCCCTCGAACGTCTTTGCCGCCTCGAGCTGGTCTTTCATGGTGTCATGGTATCGCTGGAATGGGAGCGTGGGCGCATACTTGGCCCTGGGGCCCGCCATAGCGTGGGCGGCCAGTTGCTGGCCCAGGGACACGGCCTGCGCGTTGGACAGATTGTGTGCCTGCATATTGTAGGTCGACTGGGCGACGTAGGAGCAGATAGAGATGGCGATGGCCGGCCGGCTCCAGAAGAGGGCAAGGGCTATGCGCAGCTCCGTATCGAGAAAGGCCTGGTAGACCTCAGTGGCGTCGTACTCGTGCCGCGCGGTGTAAGAAACCTCCAGCTGCCCGTCGGCAAAGTCGATCTCCGCACCAACATGGCCCGAGTCGGGGCCCAGATCCAGGGTGGTGCGCTGCGTCCCCTCGACTGAGACGCTGATGGGCTGATCAACTACTGCCGCGTAGATCATCAGGGCGCTGCTCCGAGCTCCAGCCTTGGTCATGTTCAGGTGCACCGGCTGGTCAGCCGTCAGGACACGGGTATTGATCTCCATCGTCGTATCTTCGTCCGGAGACAAAATCACCTCGCCTCCCCCAGTGAAGGTGAGAACGTCGGTGTAGATCTCGCAGTCGAGCAACGGCTTCTGGAGAATGTCCGCGCCTTCGAGGTAGATGTTCCGGTGAATCTCCGTTCTCTGTCGACCTCAGCCACCGACCTCAGCAGAAAGAGAGGCGAAGAGGATGCCAAGACTTACTCCGCTTTCATCGCGACTGGCATCTGCAGTTGCAGGGATCTCGGTCACCTCTCCCAGGGAGGCGTAGGCTTGCCAGCCGGCGGGAGTGTTAGGCTGAGTGTCGGCTAACATGGTGTGGAAGTCTATGCGTTGCGGTTGATATTTCGGTTGTCAAAAGCCCTGCTTCTCCCCTGCTACTCCGCCTTGATATATCGTATTGGGTGCCGAGCCCTAAAGCGTCGTGGTCGAACGCCGCGAGCAAGATCGGGGGGCGCCCCTCTTGACCCCTCCTTTCTCCACTCTCCCTTTCTGGCTCCATGCCACGTTTGTCATGCAGTGTGCATCCCAGGCCAGTGCAATAGGCCACTGCTGGTTGGCAACTTCCCCCAAGTCCGTTATCAAGTACGGGTGGAGCCCGACATCATACATGCAGCCCTCGGGAATAGGGCGGTGCGGTCCGGACCTCAACCAAAGCCCGGACCTCCACACCTGCACGACAAACAGGGAACTGCCCTCAAACTGATGGTGACTTCAGTTCCTCGAGGAGAATCAGAAGTCCGTTGACTGTCACGGGCCAATAGCAAAAATCGCTCGCGAGCTGCAGGCCCGACAGCGCGCCACCCGCATCGGGATCGGGGCGCGGAAAAAGAAAAAAGCCAAAGGGGAGGAGGGGGGGATGCTGTTGTCAGTTGATCTAATGCCTCATCCCGTGGAGACATGAACGCCAGGCGACATAGGTACAAGAAGGCTCTGCCTGTCGCAGCATTGCACCCTGACTCTGATCCTCAAGTCTCGCAGTCCTGCCTAGCCCGTACCCTAATCTATTCCTCCCAGACCGCAATCCCCATCCACCTTCTACCATGTCGGATGTCCTTGACGACGAAACATTGTGGTTCCCCAAGGGGCAGACCACGATCAACGAGGCCCCGACCAAGAGCCGGAAGTTGCGAGTGGCCACCGACGGGGATGATGGCGATGAGGAGGACGTGGTCTTCGTCCTAGGCCAGTCGGACATGGGGGCCCTGAACCGATACCTCCACGGCGGCCGCGTGCTGCCGCTGGATCGCACTAGCTATTGCAACAAAACGGGCATTGTGGATACCAGCTTGCTCACCCCCACAATCTGGACTAAAGTGGATGAGTTGATCGAGGCCTACATACAGGTTAGTCCTAACGGTCTGCCCGGGGCAGCGGCGGCAAAGCCGGGGGGTCAAACTGGCTGATGCTGTCTGAGTTTTAGGTCCATGCCGACTGCACAGGTTTTCTGGGCGATGACGACACCGCGATCAAGCGATGGAAGGCGAATCCGACGGTCTCTGCCACCAGGACCGAGACGGCGCTCCAGCGATGGAAGGCGGGTCGAAAGGTCATGGCCGCCGCCGCCGCCGACGACGACGACGCGGACTTCGACAAGCTCTGCACCTGGGATAAGATGAACAGCCTGGCCCAGAAGATCTACAGCTACTCGGAGGATGCGGGCAGCACCGACGCGGACGATTCGTACTACGTGGCCATGCTGACCCTGTGCAAGGACTACAACGATAGCAATGACCCCGCCGAACAGGAGAGTATCCGCCAGGACATCCTCGATCTCACCGACGACCTCCTCGGGGATGTGAACAAGATTCTTTCCCGCATTGGCAAGGTGAAAGAGGCCTTGAAGCTCTTCGAGGCCAGCTGTCAGACCAATCAGAGCACCTTGGAGGGTCTGGAAAAGTCCATGACCACCATCCTGGACCAGGAGCTGGGCAGTATCCAGGATCTGGAGAAAGAGATCAAAAAGCAACAAGACGCTATCATTAGCTACCAGGCCATCGTCGATCATGGTATGTCGTGAACCCCCAGTGACCCGGGTCCGCGGAAGGCCACGGTCGAACCTAACCGTGACGACAGATCGGTACGAGCAAGAGATGACCGCCGCCTATGTCTGGATGTAAGCCTCTCCCCTCGTCTCCAAATGCTCGGGTCTCGCCACTAACCATCCGCGCGGGCATGCGCGATCAGCCCCATCGCGGGCACCATTGCCGGGCCCATAGTCTTCGCTCAGATGCAGGCCGAGATTGATGAGTACGAGGGCAAGATCGATGCGATGAACAAGCTCATCAAGGACGAAGAGGCCAGCAAGCAACTACACAAGACCCTCCAGGCCAACGTCACCTCCATGAAGAGTCATGCCACGGATCTCAGCGATCTGATCGGCCCCGCCATGCACACCATCGAGGCCCTGGAAGGCGGCTGGAACGTCATGGGCTCTCAGGTCCAGTTCATCCACGACAAGGCTGAGAAGTTCGAGGAAAAGATCCCCCGGTTGGTCATGACGAAGCTCCAGCTCAAGAGCATCTCGGATGAATGGCACAAGCTGAACAAATACGGTGAGTGGTGGATGATCCCCAACCCCCGACAGTCCCGGCCACAGAAGTTCCCGGCTCACGTGATGTTGTCTCCAGTCATGTCCTATATCCAGAACGCCCAGCTGGTGGTCCCAATCCAAGTCCTGAGCCTTGAGGATTATCTGCAACAGTTGAAGGATGCTGCCAATAAGTCCTCGTGAAATTCTACAGCGGGGCAGTCGCTGGAGCACCTCCGATGGAGTGGTTTGCTTTGACGTACCTCAAGCCGAAGGGTTTTACGCACCCAAGCGGTGGATCTAGTCTAACTCCCACATATCACTTGATGGATGATACAGAGCATGGCACTCTTGAATTTTATATCACAAACGGATTCGTGTTAAGCCGGATTGATCAGTACGTATCATATGATTGATGATCCGAGACTATAGAAACAAAAGTCGCCAACAAAGCCATCAACCAGCTGGCAGCGAAGTCCAAACAACGTCTATAATAGGTATAGGAGAAATTTTGTCTATAAATACTTCAGATAAACTATTTTTTTTTTAAAAAAAATCTCTTAGTCTACTTTTAAGTCCTTATTCTTGCTAATATATTGAATATTACTTATATCCAAATCTATTTCAAGATCAGCCTTCTTATATTTATTATTATTGGAAAAAACTGAAATTCTCCACCGTGACAGCAAAACCGAGAACCATCCAGCGACGGCGATCAAACAGCGCCAAGTCAAGATACCAACCCCGGAACCAACAGAAAATGCATTTATTCAGGGAAGCATTTGAATACTGTCAGGAGTATGACACAGATATCTCTATGACCGCAAAGACCAAGGACCGCACCGCACCAGACCAGACCATACCGATCTTTGATCCTAATTCGGAGAACTGCCAGGCAGTTTTAAATTATTTAAGATTATATTACTATAGTTTAATCCAGTCCTACAGTCCTATAAATAAGATAAATAGATATAAATCTAATAGGGACCGAAAGACTGCAGAGGAAAAGACCGTACAGGAGGTACCGGATTAGAAACAAGAGTAGGATCAGGAGGAGAAACCGGGCGTTTACCAGCTGCTCCACGGACGCTCATAGTGATAAATAGACATCATGGTCAAATTTTTGACCGCCTTTGGTACCTTAGCATGTTACATTTATTCACGGTAATCATGGGACCTCATAAATTACTGTATGTATCCAAGATGTACGAGCGGGATGGAACTTCAATATATCTTATACCTTAGCGGGCTATGAGACTCCAAGCAACTTTTGCTACCTTTTGTGCGCAGTATGATCATGGTTACTTTACACTTACTATGAAAGAGTGGCGATTAATTGACTATTCACATAGGCCGTATACGAGCATGTGATTGAGTCAATAGGTATATTTTCTTAAGTTTGAGTCTACATAGTATCGAGTACAGGATCTGATATATATAATGAGTCGACGTATATAGATTCAGGAATATCTTCAGCACTAGGTCAGATATGCGTATTCGAGACTAACTGATAATTAGTAGAAATAAAAGGTGTAGTAGGTAGAGTAAAAAAAAAAAAAAAACACGCCAGCTGGTCAAACCGAGGCGGGCGTGAACAAAAAGAAAGCGGCGAGGGTAAACCCAACGAATCAAAAACAAAAAAAAAGGTGAAACAAACATACAACAGGAGGGATTCGCTGGTGGTCACCCACCCAACTACTAACCTCCCGGCGTGTGGCTTAAGTACGGCTGAGCGGACGGGAAG